GGCGGGTCCAGAGGGCAGGATCCATCTTGTGTGGCCTCACTAGCCTGGAGGTAAGGCCTCAACATCCTGTTTCAAATCCAACTCTATTTCATACGGGGCAGAGAGCAATTGAGGGGAAAATCCTCTAGAGGCTGCTAGAGACCAAAAACTGGAGTCTTTTGAGCTCTGCTCTGTTCTTTCTGGATGAAAATAGCCTCCGGGAGTCTAAAGCAGCTTAAAAGCAAATTATGGGCCATGGAAATGGCCAGAAGATTCCAAAAGACATTTTTTAGTTAAGAGCTTGAAGTTTCTAATGCTGTCCTCCCAAAAAAGTACTAAAGTAAGAAACATGAGTTGACAAATTCCAAATAATCTGATTTTGAAAAGTACATCAATGGGAAGGGCAAGAAATGGTGAACAGGTTGCTTGCAGAGAAGTTGGGGAGAACTTCATTGCTCCACCTTCTATATTCCGTGTGGGACTGCACAGAGTTTGAATGGAATACTAATGCTCACCTTACAGGGTGCTCTGCTCAAGTCCATAGGAGTGCTGTGTAACCATACCTGGCATGGGGGAACCCCAGGTCCTAGCAGCCACTGATCTCAGAAGACAGAGCAGAGACCAAAGGCCCAGCAAGAGCTGTACCTTCTGAGCCAAGTTCTTCCTTTCAGCCACACCCATGCCTGTGACTACCAAAAGTTGTGGCTCCAAAAAGATATCAAAGGGCATCTGGTCCCAGATGAAGTGAGAAAGGTACTAAGGAGAAGTCACCCTCATTACAGCAGAACCAATCAATAGAAACAATCCAGCTTGGTAGAAGAGAAATATGCAAATAGAATAGAGAAACAGCAACTCTACAATAACTTAGAGAAATGGCAACTCTGCAAATAAAATAGAGAAAAAAAAATACCACTATGCAAATAGAGAGAAAGAGAGAGACAGAAAGAAAGAGAGAGCGAGAGAGCACAACCAACTTCTGTGGGTTGAACCTAACAGTTGGGTGCTCCCATGAAAGCAATAGTAAAATAATAGAATCCTATAAGATCAAAGAAAGTGTAGGAGAAGACAACAGTTGACAAGAATTGTCTACAAAGTTTAGGAAAATGGAAAGCAGGTGGATGAACAGTAGATGGGGCAGAGAAAAGCAGAGAAGGCTGAAGCCTACAGCCCTGTGCCTTCTGTGCTGAAAGAGAAGTCCACCCTTGATGTCAACAGCTGATGGTATAATGGGGCTCAGGCCAGGCCCCAGGGACCAGTTAAGATAAGGAAGAGGGTGCTTACTAGAAATAAGATAAGTATTAGATTGGGAGCTGATAAAGTGAAGAACCTGGATTGAGCAGAAGTGGAAGAATAGAGAATCAAAAAAGGGGAGTGTTTAGGTTGAATTGTGCCCGTAATAGATAATTTGAAGTTCTAACCCCTGGTACCTGTGAATACAACCTTATTTGAACTTTGCCGATGTCATCAAGGTAAAATGGAATCCTACTGAATTAAGGTGGGCCCTGATCCAATAACTGGTCTCTTTATAAGAAAAGGGGAATTTGGAAATAGACACACGGGAAAGAAGGCCACCCGCATGAGGAGAGAGGTGAAGGCTAGAGAGATGCAGCAGCAAGCCAGAGAACATCATGGGTTGCTGGCTACCACCAGAAGTTGGGAGAGGGGCATGAAACAGATTTTCCCTCTAACCCCTTAAGAAGGAACCAACTCTGCCAACAACACATTGGTTTCTGACTTGTGGTTTCCAGAACTGTGAGAGAATATATTTCTGCTGTTTTGATCCACCAAGTTTGTGGTACTTTGTTTCAGCAGTCCTGGGAAACGAATCAAGTAAGAGCAGAGAACAGGTAAATGACAGTCGTTCTGTGAAACCCTCTGCTGAGACAAGTTCATGCTGCCAGAAAAAAGCCCTTTGCCTGGCATGCCCTTGAGCTTGCTGCAATGAACACCCTGATGATGAGGATGGCTGGGTCTTTGTGGTCCAGATCTTTCACTGGGGTTGTCTTGGAGCACCCAGAGAAAAGCAAAACCCACTTCTTTAAAGAAAACATATGAATCATGAAAAAGAAAAAAAGAAAAAAAAGTCTGCCCAACTTCTCCTCTCCCTGCCAAATACAGCTATTGCTACTGAGGAAGCAATTTCACAACAGTTTTTCTGCTTTCTGTACATCATCTGTTCTTTGGTTAGGTCCACAGTACATGACCTGCCAATTTTCTTCTGCAGATTCTGAAGGAAACAGACAGCACAACAACAACTCTCTCAGTCCTCACCCAAATCTTTCTTCTGAAATTGGATGCTGATGGCCACCAAACACATTTTTAAAAGACCAGCGCAGTTTGAAGAACAGCTCAGAAAGTCTGCCTTCACGGAAAACTCATTCCCTGGGAATTGCAATGAGCAGACAGGCCACACCCAGAATTTGCCTGAAGGGGAGGGCTGCAGCCAGGGCGGAGACCAGATGTATGGGCACAAAGGTAGGGACGCTGCCATGTGAGGCTAGAATAAATCCCACGTAGTGTGCAGTGCAGGTGGTCTGGGAGGGGCCTAAAGCTGCCTTCCTGGAATTAACAGCTTTTTACCTTTTTAGACTCCTTTCCCAGGCTGCAGGAGCTATTTTGCAAAGATGACTCCTTCATTCTCCCTTTCAAAGGCTTCCTTCAAGGTCTCCTGGGATGGGTCCTGCTGATGTTCCCTAACACTGAAGTGTCAAGAGAACCTATTGATTATAACGTGTAATTAATCTCCTCAACTGAATTACTTAGCTGCTTCAGCACAGTGTTTGGATTCAACCAGAGTTGAATTTTTGCCAGATTGGAAATAATTCTAATTTTTAATGGATTCTGATTCATTTGCAGTTAACAATGTTGACCACTGATACATGATGAAAGGAAATTAAGAAATGGTTATGCAGGTAGGATTTGTCACTTTAGATGAAATTTACAATTAATAATAGATACTTTATTTTACCCATGCCAAATTCAATGGATTCACTAACAACTTTGGAAGACAAAAGAAAACATGACCACATTAAGTACACTTATCAGTAATGAGATGGGTCCTGACTTAACATTCACAAAAATATGAAAAATCGTGTTATTGGATGCTGGGAAATAGCGTAGGGAACATTTGTTTAATCCTCAAAAATAAATAAATAAATAAATGAAGTCCATGAGGCCCCTGCTTTACAGACATGGGACCTGAGGCTCAGAGAGATGAATGTCTTCAAGGTCACTCAGATGGTAGGTGGTAGAGTTGAAAGTGACCCTAGATTTACCTGAGTAGTTAATGAATTAGGAGGGCTGAAGCCAAGGGGCTAGTTGGCCATGATCTGGTTTCAATGATCAGCAGAGACCTGACAGCCCTATGTGGAACCTCCAAGACTCAAATGCTAGTGGCAGATTTTCCATGTTCCCTTTCTGCACTGAGCAGGCTACCACAGAGAACTTCCAGATTCTCTGTCATTCCTTAGAACCACAGGAAATCTACTGATTTTAGACATACACACCAACTAGCAGCTCTTTGTAACTGTCTGCAAAATCAACACAGCCTGTATCTGCTAATGCCAATCCAGAACCACAGGTTATGCATTTAAATTACTATGTCTTTTTTTTTTTTTTTTTTTTTTTTTTTTTTGAGACGGAGTCTCACGCTGTTGCCCAGGCTGGAGTGCAGTGGCGCGATCTCGGCTCACTGCAAGCTCCGCCTCCTGGGTTCCCGCCATTCTCCTGCCTCAGCCTCCTGAGTAGCTGGGACTACAGGCGCCCGCCACCGCGCCCGGCTAATTTTTTGTATTTTTAGTAGAGACGGGGTTTCACTGTGGTCTCGATCTCCTGACCTTGTGATCCGCCCGCCTCGGCCTCCCAAAGTGCTGGGATTACAGGCTTGAGCCACCGCACCCGGCCTAAATTACTATGTCTTATAGCAGGGTGTCCAATCTTTCGGCTTCTCTGGGCCACACTGGAAGAAGAAGAATTGTCTTGGGCCACACATAAAACACACTAACACTAACAATAGCTGATGGGCTAAAAAACAATCGCATAATATTTTAAGAAAGTTTATGAATTTGTCTTGGGCTGCATTCAAAGCTGTCCTTGGCCATATGCAGCCTGTGGGCTGAGGGTTGGGCAGGCTTGTCCTATGGTCTTGAATAGTCATAAATTGGGGCTACTAATTTAAAAATAACAAATCCTTCAACTCCATTTAATAACCCAGTTGAACTCAGAGATGTTCCATTGGAATGACGTTCCCCTCAATGGATCCTGGAGGTGACACTAAGATGCACTTACAAATGATGTCCAACATTAATGTTCAACAATGTCCATGGTTAGTTTCAAAGACTAAGCTTGGGAAATGACATCCTTCCCTGTGAAACACGCCCTAATATTCTGTAAGTCTGGGGTCTTCCATAAGACTGCTCTCTCTTTCATAAACTCTGAGGTTCTTAGGTTATTATAATGAAAAGATGAGAAGCAGTGACTGAAAGAGGAGAATGAACTCCATCAACTGCCTTCACCCTTATCTAAAGTCTCAGTTTCTCAGAGAAAGCATACTTAGAACTTCTATTTTGCTTTCTAAAATCAAACCAAATCAAAATACATTTCAGCTTTTACTGGAGCATTTCTAGCCACCTAAAAAAAGGGACTGTGCTTTTTAAGAAAGACCAAACAACTGTTGATGCTCTAAGGCACTGATTCTTAACTTTGGCTGCACAGTAGAGATACTTAGGAATTCTAAAAGCTACAGATGCCAAGCCCCATATCCAGAGATTTGGGTTTCATTGATCTGGGGTTCAGTCTGGGCAGCAGGAGTTTTGAAAGCTCCCCCTCTGATTTGAGTCCATTGCCAAGGCTAACAACCTCTGCCTTTAGGCAGGTCAGCCAGGTCCTTGACCTCCATTGGCCAACAGTGGGAGCAAAGTGGCCATTTTTGCAAGTTTAATTTGATTTTATTATTACTCTATTTACCAGGTTTGTGTTTTTGTTTTTTTGGTTTTGTTGTTGTTGTTGTTGTTGTTTTGAAACAGAGTCTCACTCTGTTGCCCAGGCTGGAGTGCAGTGGCACAATCTTTGCTCACTGCAACCTCCACCTCCTGGGTTCAAGCAATTCTCCTGCCTCAGCCTCCTGAGTCCCTGAGACTACAGGTGCGCACCACCACACATGGCTAATTTTTGTATTTTTTAGTAGAGACAAGGTTTTGCCATGTTGACCGGGCTGGTCTCTACCTAAGTGATCCGCCCACCTCGGTCTCCCAAAGTGCTGGGATTATAGCAGTGAGCCACCGGGCCCTGACTATTTACCACTTTCTTATAATACAATTATACTGGCTATCGCAGTAGCTTACAAATATCAAGTAGAAATTGGATAATTTCAACTGCAATCCCATATGTGTCATTGGCCCAGTTGACCCAATTGCATATGGGCCACCTACAGTCATTTTGTAAAGCATCATAAAATTTTAGTGCAGAATTAATTTACCTTCAAGATCCATAATGAACATTAGGTGGGTATAAAAATTAACTTCAGGCTGGGCACGGTGGCTCATGCCTGTAATCCCAACACTTTGGGAGGCCGAGGCAGGTGGATCACCTGAGGTCAAGAGTTCGAGACCATCCTGGCCTACATGGCGAAACCTGGTCTCTACTAAAAATACAAAAATTAGCTGGACTTGGTGACACACACCTGTAATCCCAGCTACTTGGGAGACTGAGGCATGAGAATCACCTGAACCTGGGAGGTGGAGATTGCAGTGAGCCGAGATCGCGCCACTGCACTCCAGTCTGGGTGACAGAGCGAGACTCCATCTCAAAACAAAACAAAACAAAACATTAACGTCAAAAGACTTAAGTGTACATTAAATTGTCAAAATTAACTCCAAGGACTTTGGGGGAAAATATATGGTAATTTTGGATGAGACTCTTGAAATCAGACTTTTCAATTACTCTTAAGCCTCATTGAATTTTCTAGAAAACGTATCATTTAAAAACAAGTGTAAAGTTTGTTTTTAGTCTGACAGTTCTTGACAATAACAAAAACGGACCACCTGCTATATCTAGACAGTGTAAAATAATAACTACAGAAATTGTAGCATGTTATTAAGTTGGTGCAAAAGTAATCACGGTTTTTTGCACCAACCTAATTCTTTAAAACTCTGACCAAGAAAAGTAGCAATTAATGTTGAATTGTAAGCCTTCAACAGTAGATTAAGCTCAGGCTTCACTAGGCTTTAGCAATTGACCTATGTATGTGAAGGAAGAGAGTTTGTCCTTTCCTACAGAAATAGCAAAGGAAAAATATTTCCCTCACCTTCTCCTCCAACCTGTTGTTCTGGAAGAGGATATTGTCTCTGGTGGGGCGGGTAAGTAATATTTACAGTTCAATTTCTAACTTGGAATTTTCTTATTTTCCTGTTCACATTAGTAAGATCATCACTGCATTTGATTTTCAAAATTTACTCTCTAGTTCTTTTATACTAACATATGCACAAATTAAAGATCACAGCAAAAGCCGCTTTACCTGCATTTACAGTTGTTTTGATCTTTAATTTTTATCCTTATTTGCCCATTTATTACTTTCTTGGCTCACACTATTTGCCACCAACCCAGATTTCTGGGTCAGAAATCCCATGTTCTATTGGAAAGCTTTGCTAAAGAAATAGAAGTGGCTTACCGTGTTTCTGTTGTTCTAATTTTTCATTCCGTAACTTGCAGCAGTGCAGGATGGTACCCTCTATGCAGGAGGTGGCCGAGAAGAGAAAATGGCTAACTTCCTGATGTGGGTCTATTTACCATCAGCAGAACCTAGCGCATGTGTTTTACAGAAGTTTACATGAAAAGAAGGGAACTTGTGATTGCTTAGCTGTTGCCAAATCATTAATTGACTGTGCTTTAAAACTTTGAAGCTGAAGTTGCAGGAAAAAGTTGTTTATAAAATGATGTAAATACAACCCAAATGAGACACATACAGTGTATTTTTTTAGTTTTTGTGTATTTGTGTGTACAGGGGAGAAAAAGGGAACATTATTCCATTCACTAAGAAAACTTCAGTGTATTCTTTTTTTAAAAAAGTTACCATAAATTTGTACTGAACTTAGGATTTCTCAAGCTCATCTTCCTTGTATAATTCACAGATGTAGGCGAATAACATGAACACTGCTTCATCTTTGTTCCACATGTTTCTGAGATAGCACCAGTAGGTGTGGGTCTCCCTCCCACCAGGCTGTGGCCGCAAAGCGAGCATCTTTCTCCTGGGTGCCCCATGCCTCCCCCAGCACCTGGCGTATAGTATAAGCTAAATGAGTGTTCATTGTATGAACGAGTGAGTCAATGGCTGAGCATTCATGAGGCTGGAAAATTTAATCTTCCCGATTTAGTCTGATAAATGGATTCAATTTTATGCTCGCAGAGCAAGGGCCTCAAAAGGTTTAACCTAGAGCAGAGGTCAGCAAACTGCAGCCTTTGAACCAAATCCGGCCCAGAAGTGAAAATATTTTTAGATGAACATTGGCAATGGATTTGATGATAAAGAACACTAACTTTAAATTCCAACTAAGCAGAATGTTATCACCTCCAAAAATGATTCCATTCTTCTCATTATTAAACCTATGCTACAAAAAAACCTGCCTTCGATTATTATTATTACATTTTGAGTTTCATCAATTAAATAATTGTGGAAATTTTTATTTTACTCTATAAGTACCTACATAATATTCCAAATTTGCTTCTTGGCCTGTAAAGCCTAAGATATTTGTGATATGGCCCTTTACTGAAAAAGTTTGCTGACCCCTGGCCACAAGAATAAAGTTTAGAATGGGATGTGATATGTTTCATCTTGCCTTACACCCCAGGAGTGGGAGAAAACCAAATTGGCAGCAGAGTGGGCAGAGATGACATCCATATATAAATGGACTGTGGAACACCTTGTTATGAAGGAAGGCCTGTCAGCAGTCAAAGAATGGCTTGGGTGGGTATGCCTAGATGGAACTCTAAAGATCACACCCTAAGGGAATTCAAGACCTGGTGCACGGTTTGAGAAGTGATTCCTATGACATCAGAGTGTGCAGCCTGGGCCTTTGTGGGCAAACCAAAAACGTTTGTGATTGTGAACCCAAAGACCTCGGCTGGCCGCATCCCAGTCTTTTGGTTTCCCTCCAAACATTTGCTCGGAAATAAAGTAAAGAAAGTAAGTAAGAATGGACCGAGTGCAGTGGCTCACACCTGTAATTCCAGCACTTTGTGGAGGCCGAGGCAGGAGGATGACTTGTGCTCAGGGGTTTGAGACCAACCTGGGCAACATGGCAAAACCTTGTCTCTAAAAAAATACAAAAATTAGCCAAGCATGGTGGTGTGCACCTGTAGTCCCAGTTACTCAGGTGGCTGAGGGAGGAGGATCGCCTGAGCCTGGGAGGCAGAGATTGCAGTGGGCCATGATAGTGCCACTGCACTCTAGCCTGGGTGACAGAATGAGACTTTGTCTCAAAAAAAAAAAAAAAAAAAAAAAGAATTAAAAATGACTTCCAGCGGTTGACTGAGCAAGGATCCTCAGAACTGGAGAGTTTGTCAGCTTTCTAGAAAAGGGGGACTCACATACTCTGGCTTCTAGGCCACCAAGTGTCAGCCAATTGTAGACCAGTCAATTGACCTTATAAAGCATGCATATATATATATATATGTGTGTGTGTGTATATAAAATGTATATATGACATATTTTTTATGTACATATGCATGTTTATATGTATATATACACACATACAGTCTAGTATCTACATCAAGCAAACTCATAAAAATGAGTAACTTACTTATACCAAATAAGCCTTCAGTTTTCTCCATACAGCCAGTACCTTAAAAGATGAAAATGAAAATGGAATTGACACCAGGGCAGGAAGGTTACTGAGAAGCAGAAGTTCCATCTGCTTGTAAAGTAGCCAGATGATTGGCTTCTGCCGAAGCCCAGAAACTGGTCCTTGGTGGCCAGGTCTGCTCTCCCCACCTTACACTGTGCGGCTGAAAGCTCCTGGGCATCTCCTAGACCAGTCTTTCCTTGCTCTTCCCCTTGCCATCCATGCTGACACAGATCTTGATTCCAAAATGGAGAAGACCTGTCATGAACCGCTTCTGCCAGGCAAGCCTGTCAGACAACGTGCACTTCCCAGACACACAAATCACCAGCAGATAAGCCTCTCTGAGCCTTAGTTTTCTCGTCTGTCAAATTGGGATAAGAATACTAGTATCTTTTTCAGATGCTGGCTTCGAGGATTAAATTGCTCATATTGTGGAACTCTTAGAAAAGTAGCTGGCACAAAGTCAGTGTTCAACTAGTAGAGCTAGAATTATTATTACTACGCTTGTTGTTACAGACTTCACACATTCCTGGACTGTTGGCAACAGCAGGCCTGAAGAACCACTCTTGGGGCCTTCCCCAGCCCTGGACACAGCCCTTTCCTCTCAAGTCAGTGATGACCAGACAATTCATAAGGCGGCAAATGGCTTTCCCACACTGGGGCCACTTCGAAGTACCACATATGAAAATAACGTGCAACCCGGGAAAAAGCTCAAGGTCTGGGAAAACACCAAGTGCCTGGAATCAGTTGTTTGTTGTGAAATCGATGCTAAATATATAAAAAGCTAAAGTGAAAGGACTTATGTGGAAGAAACTTTTAAGTCAACGATTTGGATGAAGAAATGCACAAGAGGCTTCCTTTACACAAATCTCATGTGATCCTGGTTTTAAATGGGGGTGCAGAGTTCCTGAGAGGACAGCTACTGTGCGTCCGCGTTTGGGAGCCACACTGTGGCTTCCTTTGGCCCCTTTAAGCGGCTGCCATTCCCTGGCCAGGGAAGACACAGGTGAGATAGGCCACAGGTGCTTCCTGAAACTGTCTGCTCCTGCTTCCGCTTGACCTTAGCTTTGCAAATCCTGAGCGCTTTGTGGGCACCTCTGGGATGCAACTTGTTGGTGTCATGCCCACTTTGCCAGGTCCTGCTGGCGGATATGGGCTGCTTGTCTTCTTTGTCCTCAGGTCCCCATGTCCCTCCTGATGGTGTGTGGCCCAGATGGGATGGAGTCCTCTGCACCAGCACTTACTTAAGGCTCTACCCACCCACCACTCCCATTCTCTCTGCTTGTTACTATAATCCCCATTTTCAGAGGAGGAAACAGGCTCATGAAGGCTCAGTCATTTACCCAAATTCAGCAGCAAAGCTTGGATCTGAACGGAAAGCTCTGTCGTACTTGCCACTTCCTCTGCTGGATGACATTTTGGTGGCTCCGTGTTACATTCTCTATCAGGCTGTACACCTTTTGAGCCCAAGGGCTGTTCTATCCATCCAGCCTGGTCTCACACATGGATGTTGGTGAAAATGGATGGGGATGGATGGATGGATGGATGGATGTTGGGAAAATTAAAGGGAAACACAGAGGACGAATGGATAGAATTAAGGGAAGTTTCTTTTGTATATAAATTTTTTCTGATTATAATATTATTACATGGTCCTAAACATCCAAATAAAGGAACGTAGAACACATCAGATGAACGCTCTCCAAATTCCACTCCTCAGAGTTAACCATTATTAATGGTTTGGTATATGTTCTTCAAAATTTTTCCTACGTATATACTGATATATAATGGCATACAGAATTCTTTTTGAAAACTTAGTTCACACGATACATGCTATTCTGCATCTTTTTTTTTCCAGCTAGCATTCTGGTTTGAATATGCAGATCTGTCTTGTTCTTTTTTTTTTAAATGGCTATGCTCTATAGATGGTTATGCATGTAGCATTTTACTTAACGAATCCCCTATTGATTGGCATTTATGCTTGTCCTAATGTTTTGAAATAACAAACAATGCTGCAACAAACATCTTTGGAGGGAAGATAATTTTAAAAGGAGTGTGTTCAGGTGAGGAGGAAAAACCAGCAGGATGGAGAAGAGTGGTCACGTGTGCAACGGACAGAGTCAACCTCCTGGAGCCACTTTCCCAAGTAGGGAAAGTGAATGAACCAGGGACAGTAGTGAGTGGGCTTGCAATTTAGGAAGGGAAGGGTCACCTCTCCTTGGAATGAGAACGAATGCAGATAGGCTCTGTGAGGAAAGAATCTGGGTTTTGTGAGATGATGATGAGGTCGGTGACATAAAACATGTTTGATGTAGAGAGGACAGAATTTGAGGACACATCCATTGGTGGACAGATATAGGAGGCAAGGCTGTTTGCTGGGGACAGAGCATCTGGTAGAGGGATCAATACCAAATGCTGAAAATATGTGGGAAGGTTTTGGGGACACTTGATTCAAATATATGAGGGCTGTTTGAAAAGCACAAGAACAACCTGCTAGATTTGAGGCCCAAGGCTTGGCGTGGAGAAGATTTGAGAAGGGCCATTCCTGTTATATAGGCTACTTCTCCACGGGATCGTCATTTGATTCCTCACAGTCTCAGGACCCCTCTGCCCTTCCCCCCCAATATGTTTTATTTCCTCTTTTTTTCTAGTTCTCTTTTGCAAGTCTTCGTATCACCAGAATCAGTGCTTTTAGCATTCGAGAAAGGCATTTTCGTTTCTTCCTTTCTGCACCTGCACCTTTTTTCAGGGACTTCAGAAACGCCTTCACGAGTCAGCAATGACTTGAAGATCCGGCCAATGGCTAAGATGTTAATAACCATGCTGCCACAAGATGGCGCCCACCACCCAATATCTCGGACTTCCTGATCAAACAGGTAGGTACTAATTTTTGTGTGGCAACGTACAGTATAAAATTGTATTATTTTATTTTATTTTGTCATTTTATTTTATTTTATTTTATATTTTAAACAGGGTGTCGCTCTTTCACCCGGGCTGGAGTGCAGTGGTGCAGTCACGACTCACTGCAGCCTCAAACTTCTTAGCTCAAGTGACCTTCCTGCCTCAGCTTCCCAAATAGCTGAGACTACTGGCACACGCCACCATGCCCAGCTAAGTTTTTATTTTTTGTAGAGACGGGGTCTTGCTATGTTGCCCAGGCTGATCTCAAACTCCTGGGCTCAAGCGATTCTCCTGCCTCAGCCTCCCAAAGTGCTGGGATTAAGTTTATGAAATGTGCATATGTCTAAAAGGTTTGCTTCAGGTTTTTTGTTTGTTTTTTGGTTTTTTTTTTTGAGACAGAGTGTGCAGTGGCGCAATCTCGGCTCACCGCAAGCTCCGCCTCCCGGGTTTACGCCATTCTCCTGCCCCAGCCTCCCGAGTAGCTGGGGACTACAGGCGCCTGCCACCGTGGCCGGCTAATTTTCTTTTTTTTTTTTTTTTTTGTATTTTTAGTAGGGACGGGTTTCACCGTGCTCTGGATTTCCTGACCTCGTGATCCGCCCGCCTTGGCCCCCTCAAAGTGCTGGGATTACAGGCGTGTGCCACGGCGCCCGGCAGGCTTTTGAGCATCTTCAGGTAAGGAAATCCAAGTTTCTAAATAAAAACAACTTTGATGCATAGTTTGCCCTATAGGCACCAAAGTGCTTAAGATGTAAGAAAAGGAAACACCATGAAACGATCTTTTGCTCGTCCCATTTTGGGACAGAGGATTTTAACTATGTTCTATGCTAGGGAGGGATCAATTTTATAATTGATGAATCGTATAAAATCAAGCTCAGGATTCCCAATGTATCTTCTAAATCTACTTACTGAGTTAAATTTTGAAAACAAAACAAATACAATTATGCAAGAAATATACCCAGGTGAAAAATGTTCAAATAGTTAAACATATGTCTGATGTATCTGCTGTGACTTAGTCCACCCACTGAAATGTGCAGAGATGTTTGTTTTTTATGACTCCATGCTGTGTCTGTCTCTGAGCTTTCATCCTGCCTGACTCTCCAGAAGATCAACTCAGACCCTCAGAGGAGTGGGGAGTGTGAACCCCGAAAATTTGAGACAGGTCTCAGTTAACTTAGAAAGTTTAATTTGACAAAGTTAAGGATGCGTGCTTGTGACACCGCTCAAGAAGTTCTGACAACTTGTGCCCAGGGTGATTGGGGCACAGCGTGGTTTTACACATTTTTGGGAGACATGAGACATCAGTCAATATATGTAAGAAGTACATTGGTTCTTCCAGAAAGGGGGGGGACGACTCGAAGCAGGGAGGGGGCTTCCAGGTCACAGGTAGGTGAAAAACAAACGGTTGCATTCTTTGAGTTTCTGATTAGCCTTTCCAAAGGAGGCAATCAGAATATGCATCTATCTCAGTGAGCAGAGGGATAACTTTGAATAGAATGAGAGCTAGGTTTGGCCTGAGCAGTTTCCAGCTTGACTTTTTAGCTTAGTGATGTTGGGGGCCCAAGATATTTTCCTTTCACAGGAATCCTTGACTCCCAGGATTGGGTACAGCTTCTGAGTCTGATGTAGTGGCAAACCAGAGTGGGGTGTGTGGAAGCAGAGTACACAATTGATTTTTTAAATTCAATTCCTTCATCCCAACTCTGTGGAAGATTGATCATTTCTCACATAGAGTTGGCAGGGTCCCACTTTTCTCAGGTCTGACAGACCTCCCCTGATCTATTAATATTACCTTCCTCCCCTTCCCTTTTCACGTCTTTCTCCAGAAGGGGCAGAGAAGCAGCCCTGTTCCTTCCCTTCCTGGACACCTGGTTGATGCCTTAGAGTTGCTTTGTTCCATGGGCTCTTCTGTGATCCCCTAAGGCCTTTAGGCCTTCCTGTAGAAGACAAAAGCCAACTAGCTTGCTTCCCCTGCACATGCCCCCCTGAGGCAATGCGTACAGAGTTTAGGATCAGCTTGAATGGGGATGAAGGAAAAGAGAAGAGATGGCATTCCCAGTGTCATCTCAGTGCTTAAGGTTATAAATATAAATTGTGTCTAGAGCAGGGTTTTGCAAAAGTTCATCTTTAGGTCATCTACATCAGGATCATCTGGGTGGGTTTTTATTTAATACATAGATCTCAGGACTTTGCCTTCAGATCTGTTAATCCAGGGGCTCTAGCATAAGGCCCAGGCACCCATATGTGACTCTATTAGTCAGTCAAGTTTGACAACCGCTCAGTAGAGCAAGACCAGCATCACTTGGGCCCAGCTTGTAAGAGATGCAAAATCTCGCGTTCCAGCTCCATACCTACTGAATCAGAAGCTCAGAAGTAGGGCCCAGCAATCTGGTTTAACAAGCCCCTCAGGTGATTTTGATGCCTGCTAATGCTTGAGGATCTGTTGCAATCAAGCAATGATTCTGAAGCAATGGTTCTTAACTTTGCCAGTATGTTGGAATCGCCCTCCAGCTTTAAAATCCCAAAGCTCAGTCTGTAGCCCAAACCAATTAAATCACAATCTTTATGGTAGAACCCAGACATAGCCTTTTTTAAAAGCCGCCCAGGTAATTGGAAGGTGCAGGCAAAGTTAAGGGCCACTGTAACAGGTGGAGGAGTTGATACCTAAATGACTAGGACTGGCCAGGTGTGGAGGCTCACACCTGTAATCCTAACACTTTGGGAAGCCAAGATGAAAAAGGATTGCTTGAGCCCAGGAGTTTGAGGCCAGCCTGGACCTTGTCTCTACGAAAAAAGTAAAACAACTAGCCAAGTGTAGGGGCACACGGCTGTAGTTCCAGCTACTCAAGAGGCTGAGGTGGAGGATTGCTTGTCCTCAGGAGGCAAAGGCTGCAGTGAGCCGAGACCTCACAACTGCAGTCCAACCTAGGCGACAGAGTGAGACACCGTCTTCAAAAAATAAATAAATAAATCACTGAGACTGTCTCAGAATAAATATATACTCACTGCTGGGATAACGTGGTGTTATCCTCACCCTGAAAATCTCTGTGGTTGTAAACCTTGTCATTGATGGGACAGGGTCATCTTCTGCCTGAGTGCCTGATTTAGCAGGTCTGAGGTGGAGCCTGAGAGTCTGCATGTCTAATGAACTCCCAGGGGATGTCCATGTTGCTGGTCCAGGGACCATGGTTTGAGTAGCAAGACCCTGCCCAAGGTGTCCATTTGTCCCATTGCCACAAGAGCGTTCAACTGCATCTTTCCAGCTCAGCTCTATTATTTGAGCTCCGTAGACTATGGACACCTACTGACTCAGCATCTCTATCCACTTGGTGATTCGAAGGCTCCCAAATGCCATATGACTAAGACACACTCTTTGTCTCCTGCCCCCAAATATGGTCATCTTTCAGTGTTGCCTGGTTCAATTAACGCATTTTTCACATCTCACCTTGGGTGGCCTTCCTCAGGGCAGCCTGCCCCTCCTGCTCCCTGGTTTCACTCCCTTTTCCAAGTCATCACATGAGAATTATACACTCTTATAGAAACCTCTTCCTTTCCTTCATCACACTTGAATCTCCTTCAGCGCAATAATCTGATTAATGGATTTCTGAATAAGCTCCAGGAGAACAGGGACTATTTCTATTTTGGCTCACCAGTATCTTCTCACCCTAAGCATGATGCCAGGCCCATGGTGGGCACACCATAAATATTTATTGACTGACTGAATGAATGGATGGATGGATGGATGGATGGATGGATGGATGAATGCAATCAACAGTTTCTGAATATTAC